CTCTGCACTGCGACAATGCCACAGAGGTTGACCGAGTCACGTTGCCGTGCTGACCGACTCATCCTGCCCTGCACGCACAATGCCACAGAGGTTGACCGAGTCACGTTGCCGTGCTGACCGACTCATCCTGCCTTGCACGCAGTCTCTTAGACGCCTTCAAAGACACGATACGGATGTCGATCAATGTGCCGCTCGCCAAGCTGGCGCTCGAGAAAGGGATGGAGATTCCAGCGCCGCCTGGGCTGCACTATCGGATCAAGGCGGACCCGAAGCTGCCCCACGCGGACAGGCACTTGCGGGGCAACGAGATGGCTGGGAGGCTTCCACGATTGTCCATGACATATCATGTGGCATGGCACAGGCACCTCGTGATCGAGGAGATGTCTTTTACGCTCGGCAACATCAAGGCGTGGTCGACCAACGGCGCCTTTGCGCTGAAGGACAGCGCCGGGCGGTACAAGATCACGTCGCGACCCGGTGGCAGCGATGTGCGCGAGGTGTCGGCCCTCCTCAACCTCGGCGCCACGGTGCGGCTCCGCCCCATCAAGCTTGTACTCGAAGGCGGGCTTGGGTTCCGCGCCCTCTCTGTGACGTTGGACAAAACCCCCATCGGCATCGAGGATGCCGTCGTGCAACTGCGCTTCTCCTTCTCTCCCAACTTCTCAGAGATGTGGCTGGCCATCGGCTTCGTCGACAAGCCAAAGATCACCTGGGACGTCGACTTCCGCCTTTTCGGGATCCCTTTCCCCGACCTCCTCGAGGACACCCTGCCCCAGCAAATCATTGCCAACCTGATCCAACGAATAAGCACGGACCACCCGTTGCCTCTCTGCATCGGTGGCCTGTCCCTGTTCGACAAGTCCATCGTGGAGAACATATCGGACGCCGGGATTGACAACGACATCGGGGCATGGGGAGTGGGCTTCGGCGTGGACACCGCCAGAGATATCGCGTGTTGCGGCTGCTGTGGCAGGACCAGGTGACGCGCACGGAGGCGCGGGACGTTGACAATGACACAGAGAGTATCCCCCGCTACCCAGTCGCACTCGTGCGAAGTAGCGGGGGGCCACGACTACGTTTACAAAAAGTAAACATAAGTAGTCCCGCGAGGTGTGAATTTGACCGCCCCAGTAGCCCCCTTTCCAATTGCCTGATTTTGCGGCGCGTCCCCAGAGCGTCCCAAACTTGTTTGGGCGCGAACCGTATCTCGCAACGACGATCTCGTCCGCCGGCCTCACCGGCCCCCAGACCGGCTTTTCGCCGCCCATGGCGGATGCCATCTTCGGCCGGCTCTCCGTCTACGCCACTACGCACTACGGCAGTGTGCTGCGGACCGAGGAAAGCAGCGTGCTGCTGGACATCGCCACCTGCGTCAACGCAGTGCTGGTCGGCGTGCTGGTCGGCGTGCTGCTGGAGCGCGCACGCTCGCGCAGCGCCGACACTCCACGCTGGCCGCTCGAGCAGCCATGCTCCGAGTGGGCGCCGACGCGCTGCTCGCGCTCGGAGCCGTGCGCACCACCCGCCCCGGCACCACCCGCTCCGCCGGCGCGCAACGTGTGCACCAGAATCCACCATGAATGGCCGCTCAGTCTCGCGCAGAATAGCTGCCTCATCCGGGTGGTGCTTGGCATCTCCGTCCCCGGGGAGTCTGCTATCCTGACTACAATGAGGGCTGCGAACGAGCTCCTTGACCTGCCGCCGCTACACCCGCCATTGATTGGCGCCTGCGACCGAATCTTGACGACGCTACACGGGCTCCTGCTGGAGGCGGACGGCATCCGCGCGGCACTTGAGCTGGACGAGCAGCTGCCGCTCCTACGTCTGATCGAAGAAGCTGAAGACTAGAGATGCTGGAGTTGGAGCCGCTCGAGGGCAGCCTTCAGTCACGGCTTGGTGCCATCCGAGACCTGCTGGCCAACGTCCCGTACTCCCGCTCAGCTCTCGCTCCAGCAGCCTGAGGGTCCCGCGTAGCGCGTTAATGGGTGCGTTGCTTCTGAATAAAAAAACGGACACCTCTACTGCGTTGCTTCTTCACAAGCTGTTTTGTTTGTTAAATTTCTTCTTGAACAGTATTACTCTCGTGTTTTTGTGCGCGTTGTCGGTTGATAGCTGGGTAGCGGGGGGCCCCGCCGGAGGCCGTGGTCCCTACGCTGATCGGACACACACAAGCAGGCCGGATTTGCATTACATGGTTTGTGGGCATATGAGAGGGGGGGGGGGGGGGTCATGAAGGTTGAAGATAAAGAGTCTCGAGCCGCCGCGTAAGCACGTATAAGCACGTGATACGGCTTTTTCGATTTTCACATATTTCAGAATACCTGAAATACGTACTCGCGACTCTCTCCTGGTCACACAGAGGCGTCACACGAGTGTAGAATATGTACTCTACGGGGAGCGTCGCAGAGAGAGAGAGAGAGAGAGAGCCCCCGGGGCCGCGGACACGCGCTGACAACTCTCCTAGAGGCGAAACCCTGCCAGCGCGTGAGTCGGCGTGCAACCGCCGTGCTCCGAAGCAAAGGTCGCCAGCAGCGCGGCAAGCTTGTCGGCCGCGGGCGGCACGGCGGCGGCCTGAGGCACCTCGAGCTCTCGGTAGTGCACTCCGCCGCAGATGAAGACCGAATCGACGCCGTTCTGGCTCGCGCCGAGCACATCGTGGTGCAGCGAGTCGCCGACGGCGGCGACGCGCGCGCCCGCCGCGTCGATGCCGGCGATGGCGAGCTGGGCGCGGCACGCCTCGTAGATGAGCGGGTGCGGCTTGCCGACGGGCCGGATGTCCGTCGCGCCCATCGCCTCGTAGCGCGCCGCGAGGAGGCCGGGCATCGGCGAGTCCTTGCCGTCGGGACGCACCGTGTCCGGGTTCGCGACCACGAGTGGCAGCCCGCCCGGCCGCGCGGCCAGCGCAGCCCGGAAGCCCTCCTCCTCGGCGTCGGCGCTGTACGGGGAGAAGGGCTGCCGCAGCAGGTCGGGCCCGGTCC